TTTTGCCGTAGTGTAAAAATCTCAATTAACAGTAAACATTCTCGTTAATTTTTTTAATCAAAATTTTGACAAATAGAGTAGAACTGATAAACTGGTTAGAGAAGTCACATACAAGGTAGTTGCCGGACTATCTATTGCTTATATAAGCTTTTCTTTGTCGTTGATATATTTTTGCCAATCTTGTGTAAATATGTAAATAGTTGCATATTTTTTTCTCTTATTTTCTATTTTATTACACCTGGGTAAATGTTAATATTATTCTGACACCTGTAAATATTATTATATGCTAATCGAGTTTAATCTCATTTATGTTTAATTTCCTATCTATTTCATCACACGTTCAACCGACTAGTTTCCCCCTCATGACTTTACTATTTGGTGCTGGGCGCTCCCTCTCCCCCCAATTCTACTACCACTTCACACATTCCCTCATTATCTCAAAAATTTGACGAATCAGTCAATGCTGCTTCGCCGCAGTGCACTGAGATTTGAGTTATGTTTTAATGCTGTGGGGCCGTTCAAAAAGTACGTACATCCCGAAGGGGGGAGAGGGGGTTTGCTATTTTGTACGGTTTTGTACGATGGAGAGGGGGGGAGGTATTATACAAAGTACGTACATTATAAGCATACNCTTAGATTATCACTGTATGTAGTTGCAGCAATTCTTCATAGTATTTCATTTCTTCTTAAAATGGTAATGAAATAAAAAATTTCTTTTTAATTATTGGATTTCAAAGTTAATTTATGAGAAGCCCGAAAGCAAGACGGAAAGGAATAACAGCTGATAGTTAACCCATTTCATTTATAGCTGGAGAAAACCTAAACTTAACTGTAAACTATTGATAACTATTTACTTTTTTCTCGAGTAAGAAGTCGCCCTATACGTATGAGTGTTACAAAATTTTGATAAACAACGACATTTTATTCTTTAACACGTTCACGCCAGGGTGACCCACCGGTGGGTCACGTTAGATTGTCCCATCTTGGCAGCGCACCGGAGTAAAAACTGGTAACAATAAATTTCATTTTTTAGTTTTTTTCCGGGAATAATTAAAATCCATAACTACCAATTATTTTCAACGGATGCAATTTTTATATTGAATTGCTTCTTCACCGTGATAAATTTCCTTACAGTGAATTATTGTTGAGAATAGATCAACTCCTCCCGAATATTATTTAATATTGAAATAGTTCTTCTACCAGTATTTTCTCTCTTCCCGTACCAGTATTTTCACTTTTCCCGACGTGAACGTGTTTAGTTGGAAAGAAATGCATTTCTTACCAGTTTTTGCTCTTTTCCGTCTTAATTTGCTAAGATTTTTCAATACTGATTTATGAAGATTTGATAACCACAACGTAGAAATTAAGGGAAGAGGGCATATGCCAATAATGCTAAAACTGACCTTTTTCGATGTACGTTATCTCAACCTCTAAAAGGGATATTGCTTTAGTTTTTTTTTCACAGAATATTTACATGTACTTAATTATACTGTTAGGACTGTTAATACAAATCTTTGGCAGAAATTTTGTTAAAAAATTATGAACTGAGAACTTTGAGTTTTTTTAAAAAGTTTCACTTATACGTGTACGAAAAACAAAATACGTGTACAAAATACAATTATTTTTCATCAAAAACCTTTCATAACTCAAAAAGTATTTTGTTAACGCTAAAAAATTATCGTAGCATACAACTGATAGAATTACAAATACCCTAAAAACTTTTAAAAGCGTGATCATAAGTAGTTTCTTAGAAAAGGTACATCGTACAGTTTTATCATTATTGATGTATGTCCACCAACTCTCCTTAATCAATCATATAGATATATACAAGTTATTTTAAGGATAGCTTATTTAAACCCTTAAAAACAAAACAAAATTTACCAATAATTGTATTTCACTTATCTTTTCACAAGTGCTTGGGAAATTCATACTCACAACGAAAAAATAAATAAACAGGTAAACATCTAAGGGGTTAATAAAAATGCTAACAATTCGTATCTGTTTATAAAAATAATTTGCACACACAACTACAATAATTGCTTTACGAAATAAAACTATTCTCAACTATTGTATAAAACTATTCAACTATTGTATACTCGAAAACTACTGAAACTATCAACTATTCATTCGGGTTCTCGATAAAGTATTTAAAATCGATTTTTAGTTGTCAAAACAAAAATTCAGACAGCATCTAACCAGTTTAACCTTAATTATACTTCAGTGGGTAATCAATAACAAAAGCTAGAATTACCGGGGATTTCGAATTGCTCTTGTCAGGCAATGCACAAGCCAAATCGATGATAGAAAGAGCCAAGTGATAAAGAAGGATCTTCCTCAAATATCTTTCTCTCTAGTTTAGTAAAAGTCTCCTATGCTGGTCAATTATTCTTTGGCTCACTCCAGCCAAGACGATGAATATGAATAAGACGTTAGGAAGCATTCCAAAAGAGGAGTAAACAAATCGCTTTGGCGAGGTTTTACACGATTTGCATAGAAAATAGTTCTCTTTGGTATAATGTAGAATTGAGGATTTCTTCGATGTTGGCGCTGAATTAGGTGGAAATTTCAAAGGGGACGATACAAAATTGTAAGAGAGGATACAAAATGAATTTATAAAATGTTAATACTCGATTCAAGTGAGCGACATTAAAACGTCAATAAAAAATTTTGAAAAGATTTGTCTCTCTTAGAATTTTTAAAAATATTAAATCTGTAAGCTTTTTATTTGAAAAGAGTGGAAATTTGATTTTCAGCTAGTTTTCAATAAAGTGATGCCTGTGGGTTGTTTTTAAGGAAGTGTGTAATTCAAGAGTATAAAACGTGATTTAGAAAGTATTATTTCCAAATTCGCAGTAATAATAAAATTACGATCTTTGGTAACAATTTTACTTATATTTAATGAAGTAATTATTTTTTATATTAATTAAGGTAAGGTAAAAATAATTCAATGTGTGTAATTCAGGATGTGTAATTCAAGAGTATAAAACGTGATTTAGAAAGTATTATTTTTGAGTTCGCAGTAATAATAAAATTACAACCTTTGGTAACAACTTTACTTACATTATATGAAGTAAATAATTTTTATATTAATTAAGGCAGGGTAAAAATATTTAAAAACGTGTTTGATTCGAAACAATGGTGATAAAATGTTGAAAAATAGTAATTTGGCTAACCCTACTTAAACTTGATATCCTTATTGACTCAAGAACGTACTATCTCTGAATAAACACACCTTTTTTTCAACAGATTCATATTATTACAAATTATGTTATTATTTATTAATTATTGCAAAATGTGTATTAAATATTTGGTGAAAAAATAAGGTGAATAAAAATATACACTCATTTCGTTGGATGCGAATTTCGCATGGATTAAATGACACCATTTCTAAAAGTTCAAGCATAATTGTTCCAATAGATTTGCCATGTAAAAGCTTTCAAAACATTTGATGCTAAAAGAAAAATTGTTGATATAGACTGTTTGTACAGATTGTTGATACAAATTGTTGATATAAAAGTGTACGTATTGTTTTTAACATCCTTATGTAACTTTTATGTAAAACAAAACATATTCATATGAGAGGCTTAACGTAATAATTTTCGCTCTACTTTGACATCTGTGTAAAGAAATTTCCTTGCCTAACGCTGTTTCGCCAATGCGTAGTAATAAGATTAACCGGTTTATGAAATGGTAAATAAATCAGGTGCTGTCCGGAAATTATGAACTCTACGTATGGTACAATAATAAACATGAAAAATATAATTAATAATTAACAATTCTGAATTTGTTTGCAATGAGCTACATTATGATTTCTTTAGAACGGAAATATTTAATTGTTTTATCACGACTAGTTTTACTTAATTTATATGAATTAAAGATCGTTGCCTAACGTATGCAATGACAGCTGGAACTAATTATTCATTAAATGGTTATGTCATTAAATTAAACAAAGTACTGCAATATATATATAT